TTTTATCAAAGGCTAAAATCAAAGAACCCACTGTTTCCAGTTTATTGACTGTAACAACTGTGTTATTGTTTAATAAGAGGGACGGCTACTGCAATAAAAATGAGTTTGTAGTATAAAATAATGAACCGTTTGTGGAATATAGACATGACTAATTCTTATCATTATAATGTAATTAATTAATATACTTTGGTATACTGTTACCATCAATCGGTTTATTTTACTAATGAAAGCGGTCTATGTACCCCTGAAGATCACATGTGTCCTTATCATGGAATTCACTCCCAACTCTAGTAAAATCCCAAAATTATATAGTAATCATAACTCTTCATACTTTTTTCTTCTTCGTATAGTAAACTACCTAAATTACTATAAGAAGAAGAAGAAAATATGATGCATATACTACGTGAGATTTTCTACATATTGCAATGCTAAATTGAAGTTTTGAGCCCTTTCATTTTTGACGATGGTGGTTAGAACCCTTGATCATACGACAAAATTATACGAACAAACAAAACTACGCCTAACCCCAATCACCGCTACGAACATCTCCTTATTTGACTTACAATAATTTAGTTAGTTCCAAGTTCGACTGTGTTCCCATGCTCCCATTACCCGTCCGTAACAACAGACCGATGCATTGGAATTGGCCAGAAAATCACGATAAGTATCTCTTCGTTGTCACGATCCAATTCAGACCGAAGCGCTCCTGGTCGAGATTTGAGTGAGAGGACGTGACCTTTGCCCCAACTTGAGCCAACTTCAAGTGTGAACCGTCATATTTGACCAGCGGGTGGCGTAAGTTGACCGAGGAACAAATTTCGTTAAGTACTTAGTATAACAGAAAAATGTCCGAATGCTTTCGGATATCAGACGTCGATCAAACGCCGCGCCACATACAAATCTATCTGATTTGATTTGACCCTGAGAGTTGGTATTAGTCATTGCTTTTGTGATGTGATGTTTGTAGAGATGTAAAAAATGTGTGAGTATAAATAAAAAGTTGAACATTGCCTGCGATGGACGTCTGTTTTGATTGATTGAAGGAAAACACAAAAAAGAATCCATTAGTCGTTGAACAAATCACTGAATAAATACTATCAAATTTTGTGTGCTTCTAAGTTCATAATTTCTTTGTATATTGTTGTAATATACGGACCTATATGGTGTAGTTTTAAGTCAATAGAAATGTATCTAAATTTAAATACAAATATCACCTAAGTGTATAAACATACAACTAACTAATATTATGTTATCTGTGCTAAAACTAACTAAACTAAACTAACATATAACTGTACAAGGTAATAAAATGTCTGATTGCTTAGAAACTAATACAAATTATAAAATGCTAATAATACAACAATAACCAATCTATGTTACGTTGAGTAGGAGATTTTGATGTAGTCAAAATAATATCTTCTACTATATACATATTTATTAAATAAACTAATAAAAAAACTATTTTCACAGTAATTAAAAAACATATTGACAATATAAATTAAAAACAAAACTGAAGATGTGTGTTTTATGTAAATTACTAGCTACACACCGTAACTTGTGGGCAAGTACACCACTTATTATACATATAAACCTTCCTATTAAATCACTAACTGTTGCTAAAAATTGTATAAAAATCCGTCGTGCAGTTTAAAAGATCTAAGCGGCAGTAAATTTATACTATGTAAAAATATGTAACAAAATACATTTATCGTGCTTATAATGTTTGTATACGTACATGTAAATGAATACAATTAGTTAAATATAACTTTAAATATATATTTATATAGATAGTAGAGTTACCCTTTATAATATGTTACTATAAAATATGAGAGGTAGTAATAAAAGGACTGTTGGTTTGATATCTGGTCAATTTCTTATCTATTCGGGGACATGTCAGAGATAGTCGGGGGAGTCAATGGTGCATTTAACCGTGAAATCCGAGATATGTACGATATCCTCTCTGATATTGATAGCAGGTATCTTTAAACCGGGAATGGTTTTGGGAATCTATTGAAGATAAGTTTGGGTAGAAGTGGTCTGCCTTTGACGTATTGATTTTAGAAGCGTGTATTTAGGCTAAATTTAAGTACATATTGCACGATGTATATTTACTTAGTACAGATGAGATTAGAGATAGTTCGCAAGTCTCTATGGTGCACTTGCTACGTCGTTACGGAGAGAAAAGTTTCTAATCTTGACCTATTACACGAAATAAAAATTTATTTATATTAAGTATTTTTATGTAATACTAGGTTTTACCCCCAACTTCATCAGCATAGAGTTATTTTTAAAATATACCTATCGTTGTAGTAGCTTAGTAAATTATATTAGCTATATAGGAGTGGAAGTCCCGTGTAAATTGGTCCAGCCAGAATTTTTTTTTATGTAAGTACCGTATACATATGCACTATATTTAGTGTAGTCTACATGTCATTTATGAAGCTTCTTTGCATATAATCTTGCCTTGGTTTATCAAACTTAGTAAGTAAAAGGTTTACAACTAGTAACATAAGCCTTTTACAGTTTGCTTTTTACAGGATCTTTTGCTCTTAGACAGACTACATGCTTGATTGCAAATATTGTTGATTGATGGACTACGCAAACGTGAGGGATTCCTTGGAGTATTTTGTTTATTTTAAGCAAAAATGATTGCACTATATACTCGGTTGACACAAAGTAAGATTTTGTCCTCGACAGACCTACTCTGAATAAACCTCCTTCATCTGTGCAAGTCTTAATCAAACAACTTGTCCATTTGTTTGTATTGAAACTTACCATTTAATTCGTATACAATATAACAATTATATACTTGCTAGAATTGGTTTCAACATCGGCCGACCATTAGTAGCTTTCACTCCATTAATCTCTCGGTGGTCGACCAGTTGCGGTTTGTCAGATATGTCTACGTTTAATATTCAAATATTTAATATCAATAATCGTGGGTAATGTGTTCTGAGCCTAATCCATGCTGGCATTAGTCCATTATTTGCTAGTATTCTCTTACAGAATACTAGCAGATTTGTACTTAAATATAGCTCAACTTAGTAAATATAAATGATATGTAATCAAAGCCATTTATTGTATACTGTCATGTTTTTTGTTATTAAAAAGTATTATTCAGTAAAACACAACTTTAGCATTACAGTTATAAAAAAGACAAATAGATAATAATTATTTACTATATTAAGATTATTACATATCATATACCTATTGAGCATCTAATTTCTCGAAAAATTTTTTAATTATTTTATATATAAAAATTTAATGCACAAATACAAAAAAAATATAGGTGCATATGGCGGACTATCAAAAATCATCAAAATAGGGGTACTATTTAGTTTTATATGATACTAGCTGTTCCCGCGACTACGTCTGCGTGGAATTTAAATTTATTTTTAAATGTAAGAATTTTTCTAAAATAAAAGTAGCCTAACTTACTCCTTATTACATCAGCTACTTGCCAAATATCAATATCATTTGTAATATACATCGTCTCAACCGACAACATCATATTATTACCCGAAAAACATTATTTTATCAAAATTGCACATTGTACTAACAGCGGTCATTTCCCGTATCATATGGTCTTTTTATAAAATCTGAACCCACGGTATGTATACTCCTGATAACAAAAGTATAATTTATTTTAAATTAAACCTATATTAACTACTTCATATTACTCATTACTCATTTAGGCCTTGTATCTACAGTGTCTGGAGATCTTTCAATTGTTTGCTTTTTTTCTAGTCAATAGATTTATTTAATAAAATGCTTAAAAATTACTTACATTATAACTAAAAATGTTTGGAAAGTAAACAATACCAGTTGTGTATGACAGATGATAGATTCCATTAAATAAAAAAATAACAACTGACCAGCACCCTGTGGTCATTCAATTCATCGCATATCACACCATATGTTAATGCGACATATTTAAAAAACTATTAAAGAACTATTTCATCCAGCTAACTATCGGCAGGATGCGTAAATATATATCAAACTAGAAACGAATCAAGTATAGAAACTGTTCTCTGAGCTACCATATTGTATTCATGGCGGTTGAAATATGACTTGAATTTCTACCTGAGAAGGGACCATCATTATAGTCCCAAGTGATTGTCGGCAGGCCAACATTATTTCTAAAGTTTTTTTTTTGTGTATGAGTTTCTCATTTTTCAATACACATAGAAACAGCAAATTGAACAGTTATGATGCCGACATTTGGTTTCTACATAAAGTATATATATTTTTTTATATGGCGGCAAAACAAAAAGATTTAAGATATAGTATACAGTTGATTTATTCGTCATTGTAAATAAATTATTTTTAGTTAAAAGAAACTTATTTAGAAAAGAATACCCACAATTGGTTTTGTTTCTTACATTTCATAAATAAGAAACAAAACCAATCTTAGGTATATTATTGTTTTGTAGTATATAATAAATGATACGATATTATAATAATTTATGACTTTATTTTGTATTATTAGTAGTAGTTTAAAAAAAATCAGTGCAGATAAAAAGTTAAGGGTAGTGATAAAATGGAGAAAATTTTAAAATCTTTACTTTCATTTTTTGTGTCAGTCGAACTAACAACAAACTTAGTCAACATGCTTCAATAGTGTCATTCTAGTAAAAGTGCTCATAGTTACCCAAGTGAAAGGAATATTTCATCCATACACCGCCCTGACCTATTTCAGTTTCGTCCAAGAGAACAACCAAGTCAATAATCATAATTGTACTTTTGTATAAGTACTTAGTATAAATTTGTATATCACAGATCCTCTAGAAATCATATTTGTAATAGGAAGACTTCAATAATCAAATTCGTTTCGTAAAAAATACAGTCTAATTAAAAAACACAAAGCGAAGTAATCAGTTGAAAATAAATAATTAGAGGCGTTAAATAGATTTGTTTTTAGAGTTTACATATTTAGGGATATGTGGATGTAAGAATAAAAACATGTATCATAATTTTCATATTTTCATTTAATTTTGATTAAATATTTATGTAACAGTCGACATTGATAATATTATTTGTTGTTATTAGCCATATAGTCAATGATACTTATTGTAATACAAACTTATAATTTTTTTTCAAAGTAAGACATATAAAATATAAGTATCATAAACTACTCAGTCAAAACAATCTACAGTTTCAACTTGTCAATTCCTAACTAATGACTAGTATATCTATACAATACTTATCTAATTTATAAAATAACTAATTACAATATCTACTTACACAATATTTGGTAACAATGAGATAATACATACTATACGAAAATACTCAAACATGTTCATTTTGTCCTGATACTGGCTTTTATTAAATTTTACAAATACATAATACATCAGTCTTAATCATAAACAACAAATTGTTTATTTTATTTACAGCACAGAATTTATATTAAACTTAAGGCTTCATTCAACACCAATTACAATATATATTTTAATAACAGTCTCATCAAATACATTTGTTAGCTACTAAGGAACAAAGTATTACATTTTGGCCAAATAATCTGACTCAACACTTTTGTAAAATTATCACGTATTAATAAGGCATGGCCAACTTAAAAAGCAGCCTACACATGTGCTTGGAATGTGAAGTTCCATTAAAAATATCTTTAGAGATAAAAATAGAGTCTTATCATCTGTGAGCTGAATGGGTTTGAGGCAAGCCCTCGTGTACAGACGATCGAGGTTGTAAGTAACCTTGTTCGTCAAGCATCGAAGGAGAATGTGATACGGTATGTTTACGAAGCGTATTCGGAGGCCTGGGCCGCCCACCGTAAGGCTGTTCATAATTTTGAGTATCTATTGAAATATAACTGTGATGAAGATTCTCGCCCTCCTGAAGCTGACTCGTCAAGGTCGTATTTGTTAACATTGACGTGTCATCTTCTAAGTTTATGCCAACATTTGTGGTGGTTGGCGTTTGTGGTGGTATTGCATCATATTTATACCAATGTTCAGGGGCAGTCGGTGATGCCGTATATCTAGAAGGATGCCGTCTTACATTTGGACAGACGCCATGGTTGTAATTCATTGTATCTTTATTCCATTGTAAGTTAGAAATGTCGGGCATAACAAATCTAATTTTCTCCCAAAACTTCTTTTCACCCCATAATAAGACGTTGCATGTTTTTAAATAGTTTTGAAAGTCCAAGTCTAAATTTAGTGCACTTACATCAGTTGTTAAAATAAAAACGACTCTATGTCGTCTTATTGACGGGTGAATAGAAGTTATAATATGTTTCATGGCATCTTTGAATGAAAGTTTCGACCATTCATTTTGCAAGAAATTAAACGATACAAATATTAAAATTCTCTTTGAAGACTCAGCAGCATTAGTTATTTGGTCTATCAAATAATTTTCAGGTGCTAGTTGTAAATCTCTGTAATGGAAACACATTGTATATCCAGAATGTTCCATCTCTGGGGCTACTACTTTAGATACAAAATCGTCATCCAATAAACTATATACAGCATATCCATCATATAGCCTATCTCTATCAAGTTCACTTTCTTGAATAGAAGCACTTTTAAATAATCTTACACCATATTTAGAGTGAGCCCAAAGGCGTACATTTTGCCTAAACGAAAAAGCTAAGGCACCAAATAAAAGGATTAGGATTACACTAATTAGAACTACAGCTAAAAGTGGAACAAAGTTCAATTTTATAGAGCTCACTTCATCATACTGGTATGGCTGATTCTCAGTAGGGATTGTATTGTCTGTTACACTAGAGTCACGACACTTATCAATAACATCAAACACAGTTAGGTTAGAAACTAGTCCATATTCGTCTGCACAAAACATTTCTACGGGATCTTCATAGTGTTTTTTGAACCAATTTTGTAACAATAACACATTATCACATGTACATGTAAATACATTTCCTTCAACATTAATACTCTCAAGGTGTATAATGTGTGCTAGTTTTTTGTCTAAATCAATAATTTTATTACCTTGCAAGTGTACAATTCTTAAAAAAGTCAAATGTTCAAAAGTCTTATTCGCAACACTTGTTAAGAGGTTATCATTTAAGTATAACTCTCGTAAGTGTCTTGTTTGTGAAAATTCATCACCAGATAGCTCAGTTATATGATTATTTTCAAGATGAAGTACATTCAGTGAATGGAGTCCATTAAATGTGTCGTTGTCAATAGTTTCTATTTTACTATTATTTAGATAAAGCTTATGTAATTTCTTTTTACCAATAAATAAATGACTACCAAGCGAAATGAATTCATTGCCATCAAGATACAATTCAGTTGCATCCATAGGTATTTTTTCAGGTATATCAGTGTATCCAACGTTAGAGCAATCAATCACATTTGAATTCCAATTACTGTCATGAAAGCAGGAACAACCTTCTGGGCATGTCATTTTGCAATCACATGCCTCAAAATCACAACAAAAGCAGCTAGATGAACAATGAGTTTCATATGAGCATAGAAATTGTGACTCCGGAACATCCATTAAATTAGCTTTTCCACCGTATTTGTTGTTTACAACTTCGCACGTTACAGACTCTAAATCCACAAATCTAGGATATTGTCTCATGTGATTCCATAAATTAATCTTTTGTAACCATATCATGTGACAGTTACATATAAAAGGATTATTACCAATAAAGAATGTTGGCAAAAGTCTGCTTTTGGGAATGTGAGGCAGAGTGAATGCTGATAGTTCGACAGTTCTTAATTTATTATCTGTCACGACAACTTTTTCTAACTTCTTTTTTTGTAAGAATGTACCTGGGTGAATCGTGTGAATCTTGTTGTTATTTAAGAAAAGCACTTCAATAGATTCGGGTATCGACCGTTCATCGATATTTTCAATAGCATTATAGCTTACGTCAAGCATTCGAATATTTTGTTGCGCGTTGTGTTCATTTTCTAACTTTGTGATATTATTACTATGTATATCCAACCATTCAAGATTTTCGGGCATGTAACTAAAATCAAAGTAGATTAGCTTATTGTCCGATATATTCAGCCAGCCGAGGGTGTTCAATTTATTGAATACGCCTCGAATATCAGATAACTTATTCCCGTCTAAACGAATTGCTTTTAATGTTGGATTCGATAAGAATGCATCTTGTTCAATAGTTTCTATTTTGTTAGATGCTAGATTAAGAACTTGTAGTGATGGTAAAGTACTAAAAGTATCTTTTGGTATACTAGAAATATGATTATCGACGAGGCGTAATCCATAAAGTTCTTCTAAACCCTCAAAAGATGCGTTGAAAATTTTTGTTATATTATTTTTGCCAATATCTAGGGTTTTCAAAAATCTAAGTCTTTTAATACCATCAGGTATCATATTTAAATTGTTTCCATTTAATCCTAAATCTTGTAAATATGTGATATTTTCAAAGCAGCGTTCATGAATTATTGCTATTCGATTATTGTCTAAATATAGTTGATTTAATACAAATAAGTTAGAAAAAATGTTCTCATTGAGTGCCATAATTTTGTTGTCTGATATTGACAGTTGATGTAAATTTCTAAGCTCTCCAAAGGCACCATTGCTGATTGTTTCAATACCATTGTTATCTAAATTTAATACTTGTAAGTTATTTAAATCTTGAAATGACTTGGGATCTAAACGAGTTAACGCGTTGTATGATAGATTTAATATAACCAATCTTATTAGTCCAGCAAAAGTATCTCGATTAACCCAGTCATTAGTAAGTCGATTCCTAGACAAATCCAATTTTTCCAGTTGATCAAGTCCTTCTAGTAATCCTGGCGCTAATACAGACAGTGAATTATTTGCTAATGAAATTTCTTTTATAACTCTTGACGATTGAAATAATTCTGGAGGGACAGCGACCAGCTTATTTCCTGACAAGTTCAAAATTCTCAAAGAATTCAAGCCGACAAAAGCTCTATCGCCTATTTCATTTATCAAGTTGTTTTGAATGTTCAATACTTCCAGGGACCTGAGACTGGAAAGCCCGTTATCAGGTAATCTTAAAATATTATTATGAGATAAATCCAGCATCTTTAGTCCTGTGTTGCATGATTTACCTGGTGCGATTGGTCCTTTACCCCAATCGGAAAATCCAATATCGGAAATATCTTGAATTCGATTATTTGTTAGGTTAAGTGATTCTAAACTGAAGAGTGGACAGAATACTTGGGAAGGTAACATGTAAATATTGTTATCTCCTAAATCCAAAGTACGCAGCTCCATTAAACCACGAAAACTCTCAGCATGAAACTCCATAGTCATTGCAGGCCAATCTGTATTATACGAACGCAAGGTCAAGCTAGTTAAATCACGAAGTGGTGAAAATACAGTCGCTGGTACATAGCGAATTTTGCAGTATTCAATACGAAGATCCTCTAGCTTTCTCAGCTGTCCCAAAAAACTGCCTGTATTCATGTGCAATGAACTCTCAAAGAAAAGCAAATCTGTACAAGTCAATTTTAACTTGTTGATATTATACGCCTGCGCAGTGGTAATATTTTTAAACAAAAAGTCCGCGGATCCTATGGTTTTGATGTTGCACGTGAGAAAGTTAGATTCACTCAACTTTGCGTCCGAATAGTCCCACTGACAGCCGTTCGGGGCGGGCGGCGCGGAACGTGCGCGCGCACCTACCACCACAAGCAAACACATCCAAACTTTTAACGTAATCATTTCACTTAAGTTTTTCGTCATATTTTCACAGTTAAATTGTTCATTTGGTTTTTGTTTGTCACTGAGAGTCTATACAAAAACTTGCAATCACTTTACAGTTAGTATTATAAAGTCTATTTATTGTACACACTTCGATTTATTGAGCATGTAAACAGAGAATGTAGAATCGCGGTAAAACTTTTAACGCAGCCATGCTCCCCTGCGGTCGGGCGGTAACTGACCTACGTAAGTTTGAACGAACGAAAGCCGCACGGGTGTCAGGAGCGGAGTGTGAGGTTTGGGGGGACGGGGTGGGCCACAACGGGTGGGAATGATGGACCCCGCGCTGCATCGACATTACAACAGATGGCACGCGTGTTTTTTGAATAATCAAAAATATTGTGTGTTACATGGAAGACTTCGGCTTGCACAGTTATGGTTGCATCTCCTCGAATTTCATCTCAAAGGAGGTCGCAATGTAATTTATAACAGTAATACTTTGTTTAGAGTGATTACAGTTTGCTGTAATTTTTGTTATAGTTCTATATGTATGTAGACCTATTTACGATTTGTATTTTAATAATATAGCATAACAACCTATAAACGTTGCACTGACATGTTCCCTGGACAGGGATTTTTCCGAGAATATTTCATTGGCTTGCCTATATATGATTTATTTACAGTTTTTTATGTTATTTACAGATTTGGGATGTTTTCTTTACGTCAGAAGATGTCCAAGGAAAAACTGTACTAGGTATATACTAATATAGCACAATATTTTTGTTTTAAAAAAATATCGAATGTGTATTAACTATAATACACATCTGATATTTATTTAAAGCTACCTTAGTGATGATAAGGCTTGGCGTGATGAAGGTGAAGAAAAATTTAAAGGACTTTTTATGGGGGAGTCAGACTGAATTTTAGCCATAATAACTATGTCACAGTAATCTATTAATATACTTATTGAACTAAGTATATTTCGATATATTCCCAATTTAAGCTTACCTTATTTATAGTTTATATACTATAAATAAGGGCTAAATTGGGAATATATCGAAATATACTTATAGCGGAAATAACATGCATTTTAAACTGTACCCATCCTGTAAGGTCCGACTTAAAATGACGAAAGGGGCGGACATTTTCATAAATGCAAAAATGATTGACAACCTTATGGAATTCGAAACGAATACAATACTATATTTTAATATTAATTTGAATAAGTTATTTAGGAACAGATGCTCGGCATTGTTACCATAGAGACACTGTTATTACTATGAAGTATTATTGTGGTTCAAGTATTACAGATTTACATGATTCTTTTATTAAATAGTGTATTAAGATCATTTAAACGAGTAATAAAGTGACTAAATAAATTAATCACTCAGGTATCGTACTACGTTCTGAGTTCTATTTCCGTGTAATGGTGATAAAATAAATCATTCTTAGTTTAGTCTAATAACATGAAATCATATATTTTAATAAGTTAGACAGGAGAAAGCAGTCTTTTCGGATTTTAGATGATGAATATTTATAGTGAATCATTCCGTAAGGATAAAAAAATATCAACATAGAACTAGTTAGACATAAAAACACGTCCATTGAAGACGGCTATCATGCGTCACCGCGAAGAGTAATCGCGGGCCATCGGATGCCCAAACACGTGCGTGTCGAATCAAGTCTACCGTGGGAGACATTTTGAGACCTCTAAAACATCTTCAAATGATCATTCGAATTTTAGGCAGTTATAAATACAAGCCACAGATCCTACTAATATTATAATACCTTTGAATGTTAATATATTTCTGAGTTAAATATAAAAGTGAAGTCCAATGATATTTTTTAAATAAATACTACTGCGATATCCTTGCATACTTTTTATCCATTATAATCACAATAGCGTCGTGTGTTGCAGCAAGAAACAACTAATCTGAAACGATGTTGACGTTCTCTTTACTATTACATGGGTGCTATGAATCACTCTATTTGTTATATCTACATAATAGTTACATAGTAGACTTACATAAAAAAAGACTAAATTGTAAATAAGCAGTAAATTATCAGCGTGTGATATAAGTTACAGACTTTTATTATCCTTGAGATAAACGACTTTAGTTGCGTTTAAGATTGAATGATTAATAGCGTATTTTGTTTTATTTTAATGCTCATTATATATTTATTCAGGATTTTTTAGAATCGTGTTTGTTAACACTAAAAAGACAATTTACAGTTTATGTAAGTAGGCAAGTATGCAAAATTTAAATACTATATTTAAAAATATTCTTCATAAGTTCCTACTAGAATATTTATATAATAATGTGGAATTTGAAAGATTTTATTGTAATAAACAGTCGATCTATTCAGATAACTAATTTCGATCCAATGATATTGCATTGGTTCCGCATATTGTTACACTTTTGTATTCAATCAACACACACATAAGACCCTAAATATGTAAGAAAACTGAAATATATCTGTATTATTTAACTGCAACTTTTTTTTTTGTAAATCTCAATAAAATAGAGTTTATATTTCTACAAGTAATTTTAAATCCTATAATTCTATAACCCCTAAGAACTTGCTCAAGGAGTCTAGAATATTAAAAGTCAGTTATATTTAATAATAATAAAAAAGTTTCATTTAATATAAAACACAGTTTAATATAAAATCGTACTGAACAATCAATTTATTGACTTTGTTGATGATACTGTATTTCTTGGTATCACATTAGACTCCAAACTGCAATGGAGTGCTCATATTTCTAAATTGGCAAATAGACTTAGTTCTGCCTCTTATGCGGTAAGAAGAATTAGACAATTAACAGACGTGGCAATGGCTAAACTTGTGTATTTTAGTTATTTTCATAGCATTATGTCATACGGTATTTTATTATGGGGCAAAGCAGCTGATATAAATAAAGTATTTATTTTGCAAAAGATCATCGGCTCCATTTACGGTATGGGGCTTTGCGTGAATGTTTTAAAGAATCAAATATCCTCACCCTTGCTTCTCAATACATCTAGGAAAACATTATGTATGCCAGGAAAAACATTAACAGTTTTAAAAAAGTAGGTGATTGCACTAATAAAAGCTTACGTAATGTCAACAAACTAGTTTTACCTAAGTGCCGTTTAACGAAAGTTAGTAATTCGTTTTATGGAAATTGCGTAAGGTTTTACAACAAACTCCCTGAACAAAGATTAATTTGCCAGAAAACAAAATTCTGTTTTAGAAAAAAAATGTGTTATAAAATATTTTCTTTGTCAAAAAGCTTATTATAAAATTGAAGAATTTATAAATGATAATAATGTTTTTGTGGAAAATATCTAACTTAAAATTCATAGCGCTGACAATGTTATCTGACTGAATAGAGATTAAGTGCGTAGGGGTTTCTATGTTGATTGTCGCATGCCTAATCCTTGTGTTAATTAAATATAAGTAAAACAATATTTATATTAAAAGAACAACACACAAGTTTCTTGCTCATTCTTCTTATGATGACTCTGCATTCCGAATGAGCGGTAGAATAAAAAAACTTGACTATTCAAAAGTGCTTATATTAATTTCATTTGAATAAAGATTATTTCTAATTCTATAGTAATTATCAGCTAGCGGTATCAGTCTTGGTTCATTTAGATATAGATAATAATGTGCACATTTGTATCACATTGATTTTTTGAGCTGTAAATAAGAGATAACATTAAAGTTGTTTGATTTTTCTCATTAAAGTAGTAAATTTATATAGTTTTTTTACATATATTTGACTACATTAAGGTGCCAGATATGAGAGCGAGAGATGAAATGTGTCATTCTAAGAAAAGAGGTCTTTAAAATTAAAGTGCAACACGTATCAGTGCCCAGACTATTGATATTCTCAGTCAATATTGAAAGTCAATATCTCACGTGCCTATAAGGTCCAATATTTACTAGCTAACATCAACCACAATATTACCACTTATCTCATAACAAGGCGACTCCGAAAACATCTTATAGCGATCTTCCCTTAGGAACGTTATATAACTATTTGAGTTTATTGACATTGTTCCATATCTGCTGTGGTCTAAGTTCAACATGACTTTTATGTGAAATAATAGCCCATCTGAACTATTTATGGGTATTTCATTACTGTCGTATTGAGTCGTTTTATACCAGAACTACTTTAATTAAAGAGAATACGTAAATAAAATTAATTATGCAGTGGAAAATGACAATTTCAACCCGTTATAGGTAGTAAAATTTCATTGATTTAAAAATTACCGTCAATTTAATCCTTGCTGTATAGTTCGCTTTTAAATGAGGTCTGCTACCTGCATCTATCGATTTCTTGAAAAACTTCATTCAAACAATGCCGACAATATACATACAGCAGGGAGCACCTTCTACTCCATTTGCATGGAGTCGTACTGTGAACTGTTTTTTATTTATTACTTGTAAGATTTATTTATGAATAAAGAATCTTAAATAATTAATCTTATTGCATATATACTATAATATTTATAATTAATAGGTAACAGTACTCTAAAAGTTACTAATTCCAGTATTCAACAATATACCGATATATTTATCGAATAGAACAATATAGTTTAATGTAGTTTCGCATACAATGCAAGAATCGTTTGTTAAAAATCGATATATTAAAGACAACGCCCTAGTATTGATTGTTGCATTATTGATGATCGTTGACCTGATTATAAAGCAATATAGCTTGATAGATTAGTGGACAACGGAAGTGAGTCAATTACAATTCATTTGATAGATGAATTACATTTTATACGTTACATAATAAACGTAAAGTAAAGAATATAGAGGAAAATAATAGTGCAACGGAAGCTTTAAAAATGATTGAAACAGCACCACATGAGACTTAGAAAGATAACAATATAAATGCTGCAGCAAAATTGTAACCAGAACTGACGACAGCATTGAAAACAGTTGTATTAGATACAACCAAAAGCCCTTTACGGTAATTACGTATCACTTTTGTATTGTAACAAAGAGTAACAGAAGACAAAAACTTTGGTCCATAGAGAGAAATTGTCAATAAACGGCCAGTTTCTTGAAATTGCAACGGAAAAAATCTCAAAGTTAGAAGCTGCAATAAAATGTTGGACCTGTCCTGTTAGGACAAAAGATGTCTACCGCAATTACGGTATTGCCCCCATAAAATTTGCTGAGACAATAGTTTTGAGTTAAAAATGGTTTATTTTTATGGATGTCAAC